TCTTTTTTACTTGTAATGTTTGATAAGATTTTCTTTAAATTTCGTTAACAAGAATGATAGGGTAGTTTATTTCCTGAATTCCCTTCCAATTCATTTTAAAAAAAAATAAAAAAAAATTACTTTGAAAGTGTGTTTTCAACAACAGTAATGCTCCATAAAATTTCATTAGTCTATCTCTCTTTGTTTTCAAGATAAAAAATAAAACATTATTTTCCGCCATCTTTGTACCGCGATATTCCCTAATGGTTGACTTTTAACCCAACGTTTATGAAGCAAACTACCCCTTATTTTGAACAAGGAATCAAATTTCAAACTAAAAAAAAAAAAAAAAAAAACACCCTGTATAATTTATATTATATATAAATTATAAAATTATATATATATATATATAAGTATATATATAAGTATATATATATATATATATATATATATATATATATATATATATATATATATATATATATATATATATATACAGAATTTTCAAGCTTATCAACGCCATTTTATGACAATATATACAAGGTATTTCACGTAACTAGCCCATTAAAGTGTTTTATGATGAAATTTAGTCTAAATTAAACTACCTTATGTGACTTAGAAAAATATATACCGTGAAAACTTTTAATGCAACTAAAGTTGTATGGAAATCCCCTGTATATAAATGATCAAAATAACTTACCATTATTAAATGGCAACAGATGTCGAGCCCAACCCTGGTTCTATTAACTTTACATCCTGAAACGACTGACATTTTTCTGTATCCAATCAAAAATGTTCCTTCAAAGCTGCAACTTGTACGTTGAGTTGTGACAGCAGCTGTCAAAATGTCCATTACCATCAATTTGTTCAGCTCACTAAAAGTACAAAAAAAAATTAAGCAATTTTTTAATGAATCGATTTTTAAAGATTTTTAAAAACAAAAAAAAATGTTAATATTTAGAACTTGTTTAGAACTATGTAAAATCATAAATATACGGCTATTATACCAATTTAAATAAGTCACAAACAATAAAGACCTTAAATAGACTCTAATAAAAAATAATTATAATTTTTATATTAATAGTTGCGGTTTTACCGATCGAAAAAAATATAAATAAGGTATCTGCTGTACTAAAAATATCAAAATAACAAAAAATCAACTTATATTTACCATACCGTAATTGTATTGTGCTTATGTTAGTGGAAACTTTAATAATTATTAAAACCAGATTTAAAAAATGCATTTTTTTCAAGATCGCTGATATGCAACCAGTAATACCGTGTCTGTATTTCATTTTGTCATGTCTTTTAATAATCCTTTTTATTATTGTTTTAGTTATAAAAAAAACAGAAAAAAAATAGAGCATGTTAATATTGGACCAAAAGACCAGTTTTATAAGATTTTTAAATTTTATAAGAATAAGTTGAGAGGCATAACTTACCATTATTAAAAGGCAACAGGTGTTGAAGTCAATCCAGTAAATGGCATTTTTCTGTGTCCATTAAAGATTTTCCATTAACTGGAACTTGGACTGGAAACAGCTGTCAAAACGTCCATTAATACCAATTTGTATTGCTGACTAAAAATAATACAAAAAATAAATAAGTAAATTTTTATAGTCATTTTCTTCACACATTTTGGAATAAAAAAATATGTTTTTTTTTTAATATGTTAGGTAAATATTAAAAAAATAAACGCAATAGTAACTCTTTAAAATATTGTCAAATATTCATAGATTTTTACAAAAAGAAAACATACTAAATAAAATTAAAACTGTCTGATACAAATTTGTAAATAACTACAAAGATTGAAAAAAATATATATATATATTAATATATTTTCAATCTCAAAATTATTTTATTTTGAATTTGAAGCCTACAATTTTGTAGTTAAATACAAAAATTGTAGCCTAAAAAATAAAAATAACTTACCATTTTCATAGCGCAATGGTAATGAAGGCCAATCAATCTGAGTTCTATTGATTGTATCTTGAAATTGTCATTTGTGTGTAAGATTTTCAGTATCATTCCATTCAAAAAATTCCTCTGGCATTCATCAAACTTATGTACGGTTCTAACTCATTTGCAAATTTGTAACAGCAACTGTTAACGCCCAGTACATCACTCGAACAGATATCTAAAAATAAAAAAATATTAATAAGTATATTAATTTGTATCAATGTAGAAAATTAAAATAAATAAGAAAACATTGTAATATACAAAATTAAGTTGATTTGAATAAAAAAATTCTCCTAATAAATTTAAAATTAAATATTGCACCTATAGTTATTGAAATATAGACATTATGTGTAAAATATGTCATAACTTCCAAGCTTTCCAAAAACTTTAATAGGAAAGAAAATAATGTGAAAAAAACTTACCATTTTTGAGAGATATGTGCGTTGTTGAAGTCAATTTAATGTCCTGTATCTAATGTAGAATAAATTGGTCATTTGTGAGCCTTTTCCCAGTTATTAAAATGTCAAAACTTCTTTGGTGCTTCTAATAATTCATCCAAATTGTTATAACAGCTGCCATTCTACATTTCCACCAATAGATATGCTTGCATAATACATAAATAAATGAAACTTGATGTCCAAGATATCAATAACATCTATAAAAAAATAAAAGTTGTGATAAGTAGGTATTTATTTTTTGTACCTAGATGAAAAAAATTACCTTAATACAGTTGCTCCAAATTTCATTTTAAAAACTTCCGTTACAGCGAACAAAATCCTCCTCCTTTCCTCAAACATTTCCATCTCCTTTCCTTCTATTACAAAGCAATCCTCTTCCATCTTCTCTGTCCTCTTCTATTTTCCCAGTCTCACCAATTCTTATTCAACTACTTATATAACTAACTTATACAAATTTCAGGCGTCTTACAAACATTTTTCAAAAAGGAGGAAAAGGGATATAATGCTACAACAAAGGACTACGCTAGCGCACCTACCTAAAAAAAGAGAAAAACACTTTTTTTAGTCAAAGAATATGATAAATTATAAAGTTATGTAAATTTACCTGATGGCATCTAGAAGATGGCCCTAATCCTGCTGTTGTCCCCCAAAAAAATTCATTCCAAAGCAGTTTAGTACTAAAAAGATTTATGCAGGAACAAACTGAATTTAATTTTAGTAACAAAAATAAATTACTAATACAATGCAATTCTCATTATAATGTAAAATTACATTATTTACTAATTTACGTTTAATTAAAAATCACTATTAAAAATATTAAATATTATCAATTTTAATATAAGACGAAACATAGTTATTTCCAAATATAATTGAAAAACAATAATATGCTACCTAATTTTCTCTCTTATTTTTTTATTGCCCATTTATTATTGCTAAAAAAACTTGATATTAATGCCTATAATAGAGTAAGAAAAAAAGTAAAAATGAATGTAAAAATTGCAAATTAAAAAATGAGTACTTAATGCAACATTTTGTAAATGTAGGGAACCTAAAGTTACTGCTTTGGAACCACGACGCGAACCGACTTTTGAAGTTCTCCAAGCCATACTGTATCACCTGTAAGAGAAAAAAATATATTAGAATATTTCTAACAAATACATATGCTAGAAGAAACAAAAAACAAGCTCTAGACAAAAACCATGTAAAAATATAAAAAACTCACCATCACATCTTGCTTAAGTTCATTTTCAGTCCCACCATAATAATTATATTATCGGCGAAAAAAACAGTGGCGTCTCACTGCTATGGGGCACATCGAATGCCCCCCAACTCCATGGACTTCGGTCGATCCTGTAGAGTTGACAATAAACACGTTTTCCAGGTATTCGACGGTGCCTGGAACAATCCGAAATTTTTTGGGACTGATCATATGCAGCATGTAGATAGAATTTCTGACTTCTTCATTTTTGTTTTTTAAAATCGCGCTGCGAAACCGGGTTGTCCTAAAAAAATGAAAAAAAAATTAGTTATATAAGTAACTACAAGTTAAATTAGAATTTAAACTTATATCTACTATAAGTTTTAAAAAAGTTGCTCTAATTACTATACAAGTTATTCTACTTTAAATTGTAGTAACAAAAAAACTAAAATATACAACACTTAATATAAAAAGAATTTTGATTGCTACATGGTGCGATAAAAAAGTTATTTGGTAGAGAGTACAGTAAAAGTTTACAGTTTAATGTAATATAAAATAATTAGTCTTACTTTTAACAGGTTTGAGTTAGGCCTGGTTATGCTCGCCTCCTCCCGACATTTTCTGCCTTCAAAATTCGACGCGGGGCAGACCAAGAGAAAAAACAAAAAAATGTTTTCACGATCCGCCTGCGAGTGTGTGCTGGTTGCCTTCCTTATGCAGATTCGACCCATTGGTCGACGATTAAGCCTCACCAGTCAGTTCCCATCCCAGCTGAGCAGCCTCGTCTCGGGTCACCCCCGTCACCCGTCGGACGGACATCCACCGGGAACCCCTACAGGCGGACCCCCCTCATCATCTTCAATGTGTCCGATATCCCGCCCCCTGCCCCTTCGAGGGTCACGGAATACGTGCACGAAGAAATCTCGGAGCTTGAGTGCCAGGTTGTATCCGGCCGAAGCCTCTAGCATTAGAACACCTAGCTCATAAATCAGAGGGTGGTGACTCCCTTGGGTACCTCTGCATGCTACATAGGTCATCGATGCCTGAACATCAGGGTTAGGGGGTGACCCAAGAAGTCTCCTCTCAGGTGCAATAAAAATGGTGACATCCATTTAAAATAAGGAAGCTAAGGTCAACTTCCGGTATTCTCGGAAGTGCCGCCATATTGAAAATATTTTAATCGATAGATCTAGATGTTGAAACAATGATGTGCAAAAGATCTCCCATCTAGATATTGTAGTTCTCTAGAACTTTCTAATGCATCAGTTGTTGAACCTGAGACACCCTGTATATCTATAATATTTTTCAATAAAAAAAAAAAAAAAAAAAAAAAAAAAAAAAACTATTGAGAAAGGATGTACCTAGATTGGTAAATTGATTTTAAATTCCTTGGCTTTCCTAACATATTCCACAGGGTGTTTTAAACTTACCCAAATAACAATATTTTGTTTTCCCTCGTATAATTGATATTGGGAACTTTCAATGGTCGCGTTCATCAGGATAAGTTGATCAGTGAGCGATGTACCATCGATTGGTTGTCCTGCTGAACGTGCTTTTAGATCAAAATCATAAGTAATGCATATTAAATTGTTTTCACCCATTTTTGGCATAAATCGAGGGGATTAGTCAACTGAGAACAATAAACAAAAACGCTTTGTTTTCGCTTTTCTTCCCAAAACATTTTGTGACATTTGGCGCATGTGACGTTTAATCCATCATGCATCGGTAGTGTAGCGTATTTTAAATTGATGGAAAAATGGCGACTGATCCCAGAGCACTCACAACTAATCGGCGCGTTCAGCAGAAAACTAATTTGATCGCTGCGGTAGCGCTACGTCCTGATGAACGCGACCATTTTCAACACTAGGAAAGAGATACTCAAAAATAATTTAGCTACAAATTGCTGCAACTCTCAGAATCCGCCAACCAGGAACAAAATATATTAAACTTTCTCAAATATATTCATTAAAAATTTCACCGTGACATTTTAAAAGTGACCGTTTTTCATGCCACTGAGTTTATATTAAACAGTAGTCTTAAGCCCCGTTCTCAAACTGCACTGTCGCTACAAGGACATATCGACAAAAGAAACTGGATCAGATTTCCAGGCCAAAATTCAACGAGGTCAGCTAATTGCCCCAGAACTGCGTCGTGTGGCTGGCTACACAGTTTGAAGCAAGCCCTGTTCTAGCAATACGTAACTAGAAACGAAGTACCA